ATGCTTGCCTCCAAAGAGAAATTTGCTTTCATCATCCCTAGGATAGCTTTCTTTTTCCCTTCTTCTTGGCAGTCCATGGTGTGTTCATTACTCTTCTCCAGAAATACAACTCAAAGACATTGATTCTTCTTCTGTTATTTTTAATTCTTGTCCAGCTTTCTGATTTATAGCAAAAAAATTGTGAAGAGCCAGGCCTGGATCAGGTTCATCTCATCTGTAGACTGATATCATTACTCTTCAGTACTCTCAAGAGATCCTTGATAGCAGATTTTTCCTAATGCAATTTGTCTTTTGATTTTATGACTGCTAGTGTCAAGAGTGTCGATTATGAAACTGAGCAAACTGAAATTGTTGACAATCTCCATCACTGCTAGCCCAAAAGCCACACCTGGCTGTAATGTTCATTTCACAATTGTGTAATCAGGGTAACAAGTCAGAAAATCATTCCACAAAAACCACAACACAAAATTTATAGCAAAAAATGAAAAGCCATAAATACCCAAGTTCAACAACAACAATATAGAAATCCATATACAACAATAAGAAAAGAAAGATCAATTTTAAAAATTCATGAAGAAGATGGACTTATTCCCCTAAAGACACATTGTAGAAAGAACTGAAATTTCTCAGACTATAGTGCTAAATAAGCTTAAACTCACTGCTGATGTGTCAATACTGATTTATAGTTATCCTCTATTGAGTTTCTGAGGCTTTTTATCTTGCCAGGAGTATATTTCTTATCTTCTTTCCCCAGGACTCTTAGTGGATTTGAACCACTGACCTTTTGATTATCAGCCTGATATGTACTATGCACCAGAAGGACATTATGCTGAGTGAAATATCTCAGTCACAAAAAGACAAATATGGCATAATGTCACTGTTATAAAAGAGGACTGACATAGGGGTTGGGGGCAGACTGAAAAAAATGGGATTAAATAATGCCTGATGCATTGAAACAGATGAAGGAGAGAACTGTCTAAAAGGGATAGATATATGATTCGATTTTATTGTTATGACAGGAGTCCAGAAAGAAGACAGCATAGTGGAGTGGACTTGCAGGGAGGGAATGAATAACAATGAAAGAATTTTTTCTTCTACTTTTCAAAAAAAAGTGAATTGGGGGAGGAGTTTGGACAGGGAGAAAAGTACAACAATGAATGAATGGAAATCCAAAGTCTCTGTAAACTTTCATTAAAAAAAATAACTCATAGGCTCTAAAATAAAACAATAAGGAGGAAACACACACCCCTACCAGCTAAAGAATGGGGGAATAAAACCCCAAAACCTCACAACAAAACAACCAACTAAACATACCAAAAAACAGCACAACAAACAGAAAACAGAGCAGTAAAGATTGGGGGGAGAGGAATGGAAGAGAGGAAACCCTGAGAGATTCAACAAGGAAATGGAAAATATCGAATCATCAAATAAAGAAAGAGACATATTGGGATTAAAGAGAGACAACAGATAGTAAAATAAATGAACAAGAAGACGGAAAAGCAAACAAACAAACAAAAAAACCACAACTGAACTTAGCAAAATTTAAGATAAAAAGAATAAAGAAACATAAGCAAACTTAAAGAAAACATGTAATTCATTGAAGAAATATAGCATTAAGACTGATGGAATCCCTGACAACTGATGTTCTTGTTCTATGTGTCATTGAATATGACCTATAGTGAACAAGAGATTTGAATCCTGTCTTATGCCATCTTACAATTTCTGATACACTTGAGCCCACTGCTGCAGTTACTGTGTTAATACATCCCATTAAGGGTCTTTTTTCTATTTGCTGATCCTTCTAGCATGACATCACTTTCCAAGGAATAGCCTCTCTTAGCAACATGTCCAAAATATGATACATGAAGTTTTGCCATCCTTGCCTCCAACGAGTACTCTGGCTGTACCTTTTCTAATAATTATCTGTTAATTCTTTTGGAAGTCCAAGGGATATGCATAACTAT